GCCCGCCCCTGTTTAACTACGACTACCTGCGCTGAGCTTGCCAGAAAGGCTCTTTAGTGTTGTCTCATAAAGGTGTGAAAAAAGAAAAGAAATACTTTACAAAAAGAACTATTTATTATTACTAAGTTATTTTTATTTACTTAAGTGTAAAACCATATAAATATTTATCTACAGAAATTGAACTCTTCTTGCCTTCATGTTTGCGAAATCTGCTATCAATTTTCTTGTATCCAAGCTGTCTAAGATTTCATGTTCAATTGAAACTATAGCTATAAACTAAATTACTTAGTCTTTGCTGGTGCATTGTTGATCTTAAATTAATTAATTAATTAAATAGTTTTTTATAATTTTTAACTTTGAAAAGGACCTTTCACCAAATGCAACTGAAACCGGCAATGTAAGTAATATTCTTAGTGCTATTGCTGTGTTTGGAACTGTTGAAATTAAGTCATTAGTAAAAAGATATTGTAATGGGGTTTGTGGATCATTAGACTGGTTTTCTGGAAAATGCAACTTTAAAGTATTGATTTCATTAAACAAATAAATACTGTCAATGTCTGTTTCACTACTTGAATAGTCTTTAAGCTTCAGATTTAAATCCTAACCAACTTAAAATATCATTAATTATACTTCGACCCATGTCAGAAGAATTATTAACAAAATAATTGCAATTTGATATGCAATAGAACTGTTCGAATGCATTTGAAGGAAGCTCTGTAGGGATTCCCTATTTTCGCCAAACCTGTCAACTTCTGTCATACAGCACGACTATTGGTACTTGGCTTTCGGGTGCCCGCCAGATGGTTCAACCTGCCGACAGACGTTTCGCATTGCATCTTAATTCTGATAAATGCCAATAAAGGTGCTGTTAATGCTATAATATAAATAAGAATATAGTAATTGTGCGCCAGTCGGATTTTTTTCTCCATGCGAAGACATTTCTTATGCTATAAGTTAGGGTGGGTATTATGACAATGACTAATTATTACGTAACCGATCGCTCGATTTGCCGCCCCCTGGACGCCCGTGTGCAATGCATGCCTTGCACGCCCGCTTATGGCGGGCCTGAATCTACTCATGATTCACATAATCGGGTGAGGGCAGCCAAATATCTAGCAGTCAGGCAGCTAACAGCCCAGTACCGGTCCTGAATAGAATTGGATGCGTTATACGTGTAGCATCCACCCAAGGTCCTAGGCTTCCACCAGCTAAACCGGGTGAGGTTGGTGCTCTGTAAAACGCATGCACGAATCTGGCTTTTTGGATGCTGACAACACAGCACTTCCACTCTGCCACTAATATTCGAATATACAATAGCAATCTTATCTTTTTTTCACGTGTAGTATAGAAATTTGTAATAAGATACATAATGCGGTTATAATAAAATATTGTGCAATTATTTTCATATAATCAAAATTAATATGTATTTATTTTTTAGAAAATACAAGGGAAGTGGCACATCCACCACTTCCAATGACGGCACGCCACTGCATGCCACATTGTTAAGAAATTTTACGTGACACATATACCAATAACACAGAAGCTTAATTAATGTAACACTTGTTTGGGTAGCTATGCCTTCACTTTAGTCTGTCATAGAACTTGGAACCAGTATCAACTGAACATGACATTTGCAAAAAAAAACAAAAATAATNAATAATCTAATATTTAACAAAAATATTTAAAATCCACATGAATAAAATTTAATAATTTAATTAATAAACTATTGTATTACTAACCAGCAGTATGTAAAGGTGTTCGTCCATTATTACTTATGTTGTCACAAAGTAATGGTTCTAGCTTTAACAGATAAGTAACAATATCCAAGTGTCCTTCTCTAAATTATTAAAAGAATTTCATTTCATTAACATTAATTAAATGAATTATTATTATTATTATACTGTTAAAAATGTTGTTAATTTAATTCATAGTTTAAATATTAAAATTATATAATACATAAAGTTATTAAAAGCATTGAAGAAATTTCTTCAATGTGTCGTTGGCATTGCTTCCATAGCAACAGAACTTATTTTATTCTACTATATTACTGAAGATGAGCATTAAGCTTAAAAGTGCTAGAACATTTTTGTTCAATGTTTTAGAATTTTCATGCTCCATTAAAGCATGTCCTACCTTAATTACTATTTTTCATGAAACTGTATCATTGTGTAATGTAAATTATTAACAGAAAAAATAGCTGCATAAATAATATTTAGAAAAATATAGGACTGACAAAACAGATCTGTAAAATCTCAATAAAATTTGAAACAAAAATTGAAGAGTTTTAATAATATAATTTGATTCAATTTATACAGAAACTATAGTTTTCTGTAATAGTATATATAAAATGATTTTATGTCTTACCTACAAGCAATATGAAAAGAATTCCATCCATCTTTATTTCGAAGTTTTGGATCAGCTCCAGCTTCAATAAGACATTGAATAATTTTTAAATTATCTTTAGTACAGGCTAACATTAGAGGTGTCCTAAAATTATATACAATAAAATTTATTTTAATGTACTGTATAAATATTAGTGGATTAAATAAATACTACACTTTAATAAGAAAACTTTTCAGTGTGTAAAAACAATAAACTTGCTCTATTTGATTTTGTGCTAAATTTCAGCAGAAACTTCAGAAATTATTATTATGTTTACTAATTCTGTCTGCATTTATGCCATATTTTAAATATTTGTGTTTCTAATGTAAGTTCTCTTTGGTTTAAAAGAGTGAGAAGATTGCTCTTCTTTCCTAATGCATTGACACAATAAAAAAATATATTTCTGAAAATGTTGAATAGTTCACTGTTACTTAGGACTAAGATAAATGTAAAAAGAGCTTCAGAGCAGAGTTGTAACTAGGTAGGTACAACAGATGCACAGACACAGGGCCTAAAACAAAACTAATTACAGCACTGTTACAAAGTATCAAATTTGAGCAAGCACCTAAGGTGACATCTAAAAATCTTTATTTTTGGTAAACACAAAAATGTTTCACTTAGAAGAGTTTACCAACCAATGCCAAATTCTATAGGGCTAGACATGGCTATATTACTAAATAAATAGTTCTAAAATTATTTTCTTCCAGTAGTTTTAATTGTTAATTTAAATAATTTTAGAAGTTATAATTATTAAAGTTATTAAGAGATGGTGCCTAACACCTCCCTCTAGTGCCAAATTGGTTGCATTATTTAGTAATATAGTCATGTCTAGCCTGATAGAATTCGGCATTGGTTGGTACCTAGCTTTATAGTATATCAGGTTTAGCAATGTTGTTTGTTTACAGAAGAGTTTACTTTTTCATTTGAGAATATACTGTATAAATTAATGTTTTTGCATCATTTTTCTTTTATTTTGAAGTTATTTTAATGAATGTAGCAAATACTATATCTAGACTGAAAATTGATAAAAATGTATGTTCACTTTTGAAGCAATGATCACTTTCTTGTTTCATCATGCCTGGAAAGTTTAACTAACTGGCTGTAATTGGAAAGTTTATAGAATTTTGTGGAATTCTGGCTTTCATGATTTTACTGTATTTATTATTTCTAATTTGTATAATCTATGTTAAACTTTCTTTATATTTAAATGTCATGTACTTAACATGTTCTTTATTTAACTGACTACATGAATTTTTTTATATAATAAAGTTCCTTTAAATTTTATAACTTCATTATTAGAAAGAAAGTTAGAGAATTTTAATTAAACTAAGTAAAAAGAAATAACAGATTATTGTTTAACTTTTATAGTAAAATTCCAAAATATTTAACGAAAATAACTTACCAATCTGCTCGTTTCAAACAATCTATTTTGACTCCAATTTCCAACAAAAACTGTAAACATTTTAACTGTCCATACTGAGCTGCTTCATGAATAGGACGTTTTCCATCAAAATTTGACTGTTCAAAATCTGCATCATCCTTAAGATATCTGAAATTAAAATATTTTGTGTTTATAAATGTACAGTACCTACAATATTAACTTTAATTTCAAATGTGAAATAAGATTTTTTTATTTCTTAGTCCTTTAAACTGCAGATTTTTTTTATTTCTTAAAACAAATAAATTCTTTCATTAGTTTAAAACTTTAAAACAAAATTTATAATTATAAAAATTTTAAGCTTAATTTAATTAATTAATACCAACATTTTTTGAATATTTTTTAATGAATGCATTTCCAACAGTAGAGATGGACAGTAGTTAACTACTAATGTAATTACACTACATAATTAACTACTAATTATAATTATTGTCCCAATTTAGTAATTAAACTACTAGTTACCCACATGCTTTAGTTTCAGCAATTGTAGTGTTTGAAATTTTTATATTGTCAGTTGATGAAAGTCAAATTCAGAAAAATACAACAATCACATTTCACTAAACTGTCACACACATCTAAGAAAATATATGGCTTGTTATGTAAGTATATTTTTTTTATTTTGTTTTTTGCTTGTATTGAATTATTACCCTACTTCTTACATTAAAATAGTTAGCAGAAATTTCATGTAAAATTGGGAATTTAAAAAAAAACAATGAGCGTCTATTTATTGTGACATTGTCACTATGACAGGCTGCCAATTTTTGTCACAATGCTCTCAATTCTAGTAGAGTCTTGCCCCTGTACCTCATACTTTTCCTGTTAACAATAAAGCCATGCCTGTCAGCTATCTAACGTCATCCAGGAGAAAACTTTGAATTGAAATAATGTGACTTCCAGTCCAAACCAGAAATTCATAGGTATATAGTTAATTGGGCATAAGCTTTCTATATCTGGTCTTGACTTTCATCCATCTAACTCCATTCTTGATATTAAGGAAGAACAAACAACAGACAGACACCAGTGGGAATTTACATCTCTGCAAATTTTGAAAATTTGATTGTTATATAATGTTAGTTGAAGTGTTATATAATTACCAGCATGTAGAGTTTTTAAAATACAGCTCTATCCTTGGCAGTATGTAATGGAAAGGTCTGTTTTCCTTATTAGAACAAATTTTAACACCTAGATAATGCAGAATGTCTGATGAAAAATTTGAGACTTTATTCTTGATACATCAATTAAAAAATATATGTGTTAAATAATAAGAATGAAATGAAAACAAAACTATTATTTTAATCCAGTCTAATGTTTGTTTATCTAGTTTTAAGTAGTTTAAATATATAGTTACTAGTTTCAACTAATTTATAAAAACAAACTAACTGTATACTTAAAGAGTAGTTAAATTATATTGCTTTTTATACTAGTTAACTATGTAGTTAGTGCCCATCATTATCCAAAAGTTATTTGTAAATATGTATATATTTTTTAATAACGTTTTATTCAAAATTACAGCACATTTAAAAAATTCTAATGCTACCTAGCTTCAGTTTTAGACACATTTTGGAGAAGTAAATAATAATATTGAACACATGTCACCAGTGGCATGCCGTGACATTTGATGATAGGGAAGCTGTGTTTCTGTAAAAAGCCGACTTCCAGGGGCAGTCAGTGATGGTCTAGTGTCCATTCATATTTTTGTTCGATAAGCCAGTAAAAACCGTAGACTTCTCTAAATGTATTTTTAATTAATAGATTATCTAATGCACTTAATAAATAAGCAATATAATTAACTTTGTTATATTAGATTTAATAGATTCCCTACACCCTCTAAATGCCAATTCTTGCTTCAATAACATCTACTAATTTAAATATAATAGATCTATTACCCGTAACTATCTTGTTATAATTTTCAATATTTATTTTATATTGTTTATTAATGTTAAATTCTATTCTAATTTCCAAATTGCTTCAATTTTACAAAAGAATCGATGCGAGATTTACAATTTTCGTGTCTTTTGCCAGCTTTACTCAAATTATTTAAATCGTCAAAGCCATTCTTATTCCACACACTAATTTTATTTTCAACCAGTAGGCAAGGCCAACAAATTTTGCATTTTTATGCATCCATAAAGCCATTTTATGTCTCTATAAATTTTATCGTGTAAATGTTGAACAAATTTTTATGTTGACGTATTTATATTTAATTTAGGCATTGGTCTTTCTCTTTTAATAATGTTTTCTTTTTCATTATATGGTCTTGAGCCAAAACTTTTTTAAAATAAATTTTCAATATCACAATTACATTCTAAATTGCTAGCCATAATATAAGGGCTAAAATTAAAAATAAAATTATAAAAACTTGCTAAAATAAAATGTGTGATGAATATACAATTATATGCCTGGTACAAAATATTCAATTGTATGAATATACTTTTAAAGAAAATTATAATTAAATATAGTTTTCTGAAGAAACATATGCAAAAATAATAAAAAAATATTCTTTACTTTTTAAATATTAAAACAATCCACTTAGTTAAAATTGCTCCCTACCAGTGGCTCACGGATAGAATCAGAGATGGTCTTCGTAGGTGTGCCAAATCCCAAGGGTGCCGATACCAGTTAATGTCAAATGCCTCTTTTGTCACATCACTAGGACACGACAGGGTTGTAAATTTTAAACGTTCCTCACCATAGCTGTAAAAATCTAAATTTGTTAAACTTAACAGTCATTTGTTTTCTAACTAATCTGTTTTAAGACCAGATGTCCACGGAAATTTCCAAAATTTACAACTTTTAGTCACTTTCATTGAACTGGAAAAATTTCTGTCTTTATTACATCTAATATTACGAAGAAATCAGTCCCACTGTACTCGGCTAGATATTGGTCCGGTTAGGCTTTTGTTTAAGTAAAATTCCGGCTCTTTCATCAGGGTTT